TGAGAAGAGAGTGCAGACCAAATTCAATTCAAAATTGAAATCCGAGGGTTTTAGGGTGAAATTGAAATACATGGAATTTCCTCATGATAATTACTCTCTTAAAATACATGTATTTCATCCAAATTCAATTACATTTTATTTAAGTAAAAACAAATAGTGAAATTGAATTTGAGCACTCCAAATTCAAATACACACTGTCAAATTCAAGTTGCCAAACAAAGCATCAAAGTTTGGATAGATCACAACAACACAAGAGATTTTCGGATTTGAAGTCTTTATCAAGAACTGAAGGGGAAGTTTTCGAAGTCGATTCAAATAAGGAGTCCTGATCTTTTAAAGGTATGAATCTAGCCTTAAAAAGGGAAGATGTGTAAAGAACTAGATTAGTTTTAGAATTCCAAATTCTAATAGGACTAGATTATTATATGTAATTTTGGGGATTGGGATTAGAATTTAGAATTAGAAAAGGATTGGAGTCCTCTCTATTTCTGTATAAAAAGGGGGAGCACCTTCGGCTTTGGGGGAGGAAAGATTGGGGGAAAAATTGAGGGATAAGGGGAGAAAATTGGCAAAGCTCAAAAGGAATATTGGAGAGACCGAGAGGGAGAAAGAGAGCAAAGAAGAAGGGGAAGTACAGCAACTTGTATTCGAAATTTCAAGGAATATAAAGTCTATTTTTTTTTTTTTTGTATGTTCTTTTTTTCTGTCATATTCTTCCTTTCTTTGTAACTGGTAATTGCTTGGCTTCCCTTTTAAATTGTTTCTTTTCTGGTTTGTCTGCAATTGATCTAAAAAAGGGGTTTATCGGTTGTGTCCCTGCTGCAACATGATTTTACTTGCTTCCCCCACATTAGTTTTGTTTCTTGTGATGCAAAATAATCACTGGCAAAATTTTCTTGTTTAGGAAAAGTTAACTTGATGTTATTCATGAGTTTTTTTTTATTTTTAGGATCTGCTATTATGCAGTAATAGGAAAAAGGATTCTCGAAATATGAGGTGGGGTTTAGGCATTAGAAGGAAAAAACAAAAACAAAAATAAAGTCGAGGAGAAGGAGTAAAAAAAAAAAAGAAAAGAAAAGAAAGAACAATAAAAAAACAGAAGAAAAAAAAAAAGAAACGAAAAAGGGATGGAAGCAGAAACGAAAAAAGAAGGAAGCAGAAATGAAGAAAAAAGAAAAACGAAAAAAAAAACAGAAACGAAAAAAAAAAAGGAAACGGAGAATAAAAAAAAATTATTGAGGAATTTTTTTTTTTGAAGTGATTTTTTTTGAAGTTTTTTTTGTTTATTATTATTTTTTCTTTGATAATTATTATTTTATAAAAATTGAAAATTAAAATACCCCAAAATTCAAGTATATGGCAATCATATTTATATGGAAGTTTCTAGGATGACTAATACTTTCCCCACGCTTAATTGACCCTTCGAACCTAGTTAATTTTTATGAAGATTTTGATGATCTATTTCATCTCATTTGAATGGATGGTGACTCCATCCATTTTAGCATGTCAACATTATTGACTTTGTGCAATGGTGGCATGCTATTTATGAACAAGTTTTTAATTGAAAGATAGATGTTCCTTGGCAGAAAAAGACCCTTGTGCAGACAGTTTAGATGTTGGCTCTTCCTTTTCACAGTGTTCTTTTGAATATATACCAAGGGAGGCTAATTGTCCTATTGATTGGGTTGCCAAAAATATGTTGAAGGAAGCATGTACTTTCTACAAGGCACATTGGCTTCCGTAGAATTGTATCATCTTTTATCTACTTATGTAAATTATCTCCATATTAATAATATAGTATTTACAAACTTATACCTTTATGGTATTTAGATTTTTCATGTTCTAGTATGATAAAAATTGGAAATAGTTAATGTTTGGTTTAATTTTTTTTTATATATATAATTTGGGATTTATAACTATTTTCATTAATTTCTTACTCGTCTAAATTTGATTATTTCGTATTTGAATTTTTTTAGTAGTATAGTAGAAAATTTAAAATATAATAACTGTATTATTCATTATTTTGTTAATGTTTTCTAATTTTTTATCTTTAATTATACCATTATGAAAATATTGAAAATTTTCTATAACTTACCAAATAGTAGAAAATATTTTTCTTAAAAAGTTTCCCAAGTGTTCCAATATGAAGTTATTTTTTATAAACCAAACGGACTATTAGAGGTTATACACACAAATTTTAGATTTAATATAAATACTTAATGGTGCAACTTTTATTTTTAAGAAAAGAATAATTATCTACTAATATTTTTTTAGTTCATTAGATAATAGGGTATATAATAAAAAATAACACTCTCATTCTCTGTTTTTCTTTTTTTCGAAGAGCCAAAACAAACCTTTATTAATAAAGTATAGGGAGTACTCATGCCCATATACATCCATTATCAATATCGCAATTGCATACATCACCTATGATCTTTATGTCATTCTCCATGCAGCTCCTTTTTTAGCTATTAAGCATCTATTGGGGTTAGCCTTCCATTCTTCAAGAGAGTAAGGCCATCTATCATTATAATCTGTAATCCAGTGATAGAACTGGACCTGCAACATGTCCATTACTTTTTCCACTACTAGTTTTTTCTTATTAAAAATTGTATTATTTATTGCCACCCATAAGGACCATAAGGCAGCAAACCACACCACCATCCATCCTCTTTGTGATTTCATAGCCCCTACATGTTATCTAAAAATTTATTTTACATATCCATGCATTACATAATTCATATTTCACCACCTATAGCATTTCATCCATAGTGTAGATAAAAGGGACAATTAAAAAAATACATGATTGCTATCCCTCACCTAGCTACCACAAAATTCACAAAAAGTCTTAGTGAGGTTTGTAATTATATTTCTTCTAACCAAATTAGCTTTGCACAGAATTCTCTCTTGTACCAATAACCATGTAAAAACACACACCTTATTCGGCACTAAGGGGTTCCAACATCTTCTATAAATATCATTGTCTTTCATATCTTATGTTTGTACGATTATTTTTGTAAGTAGATCTCATTAAAAATGCTCCTTCCTTCTTGTGAATCGAGCACCATCTCTCCTCCTAGTTTTTCTTCAATTTGTATCCTTCCAACAAGTTTAGTAACTCTATTTCTTAATCCTCCTCCTATGCTAATTATCTTCATCTCCATTGTAGTCTCCAAATCCATTTGTCACCTCTCCATTCTCCCATACCTTGCACATTGCTTCTACTATCTATAGAAATAGAAAATAGTCTTGGAAACATTTCACATAACTTCTTGCCACCCCCCATGGGTCATTCCAAAAAATTATGTTACTCCCATAACCTAACACCACTGTAAACCAATTCAACTAGTTCTCCCTTTGCCCACCTAGAAAATTTACTCTACATATATATCCTTCCACCACCTTAAACCTACATCTTTGCCTTCTCACACCCAATGTATCTCGTTATCCCTAGCTTTAACATACTTCTCTCTCAACACTCTCTTCCATAATCCTAATCCCTCATTTATTAACCTTCCCCACCATTTACCTAAAGTTTTTTTATCCCTAACCCTCCATCCTCTTTTTTTTTTTTTTTTACACACATTCTTCCATCTCAGCCAAGCCACTTGTTTCCCCCTCATCTATCCTTCTCTATAAACACTCCCTTCTAATGGAGTCCATCATTTTTATAATTCCAAACAACAAGAGAATGGTTGACATTAGGAACACAGGATGGCCAAATAGCATAGAATTAATCTAGACAACTCTCACACCCATGAATAAGTATTTATTCTTCCAAATAAATAATCTCGTTTTGAACTTCTCAATCAACAATCTTCAAGTGTCTAATTTCCCCAACCTTGCTGTAATCAACATTCCCAGATACTGCATAAAGCATTCACCAACTTTTCAATTAAGAAACCAAGCCATTCGTAGCACCTACTCATTTGCTAAATTCATCTCAATCAGTTGGTTCTTTTGGTAGTTAATTTTCAACCTAGAGGCTAACTCAAATACCCTCAAGATACACATCACTATTTTTAGATTTTGTTTCTCAACTTCTTTGAAAATTATGGTGTCATCCACAAATTGTAGATGCAAAACCCTTAGGTTGCCTGAGCAACTTATACTCTGAATAGATTTTTTTCCATTGTTGAGCAAAGAATGCCATTTAAACCTTCAGTCACTATTAGGAAAAGGAAAGGAGGTAAAGGATCACCTGCCTTAAGCCTTTGTTAACATTGAATTCTCTTGTTGCACTTCCATTGATAAGAATTAATACAGTGATTGAACATAAGCATTCTTTTATCCATCCTCTTCACTTCAATCAAACCTCATTTGATTGATCAAATAATCAAGGAAACCCCATGCATCTTTGTTGTATGCTTCTCAAAAGGTATTTTAAATGCAAAGCTTCTCGATTTCTTTTTCCCGATGTCCTCTATTGTTTCATTAACTACACTATCTACCAACTGCCTCATTTTAACAAAGGCTAATTGACATTCACTAATTATGTCATTCATTACTTTTCTCAATCTGTTGACCAACAACTTTGAAATCACTTTATATATGCATCCAACTAAGGATATGGGATTGTATTTGTAATACCCCAAAATTTGGGGATATTTTAGCATTAAATAAGGGATTTATTTGAGGGAAAATATTATGGAGGGGCTTAATGATCAAAATGTCCATACTTGAGGGACTTAAAAAGAAAGGAAATTAGGATAAGGATGGCTGAGTTGTTCTTTCTTTTTCTTCTTCCTTATCCGCCGGATCTGCTCTGCTTCTTCCCCCTCTGCCGCCGGCTGCTGCTGGTTTTTCTTGGTAAAACCAGCCCATAAATTCCTCTTTCCAGCCTTAGTTCGTGTGAGTTTACTCTAATTCTCCTTTCCTTCAATTGCTAGAAGTTTGCGTGAAGTTCCCCTGCAATTTTTCTCGCCGGCTCCTCCCATACCCGCCAGCCCCAGCTTTGCTTGTTGAGCATTTTTGGTAAGTTGGCTTCTCTAATCTTTGAAAATTAGCGGATTAATGGCTGCTTTGTGAGTTATTTGGTTGTATGAAATGAGCTTGGTTGTCCGAAAATTCTGTTGAAATAGGGATGAATTTTGGCTATTGAAAATGGGTTTTGGTTGATGATTTGTGTAGGAAATTAGTGGGTTTGATTGTTGTATGTGTGTCCAAGAGAGAAAGAGGAAATTCCCGAGACTTGCCCATTTTTCTGTCAAGGCCGGTTCTCCCAAATTCTTGTCCATGAGTTTGAAAATTGTATATGTGAAATCTTGTAATTAAATATACATAGATAAATACCCAATCCCAGAGAATGCCCAATTTTTGGATAGGAAATAAATAAATGAATGAAATTTCTTCATAGATATTAACTCGGGAATACTGTGATTAGGTCCTTGATTGCCCTGTGATCCTAGCACTTGGATTAAGCCTTTTGTCTGCGTGATTAAGGTAAGTAAAATTATGGTAACGCCCTTCGACTTTTCAAGCATGTTTTGATTTGTTTTGAAGTGGTGGCGGGACTAAACCCGTTTTACACAAGTATGACTGATTTGAAGTGAAATGTTTTATGCTTTTCACTAAATTGAGCATGCCTACTTGAAATTTAAGTGATTGTCCTGATGATCTGAAAGTGACTTGAAAGTGATTGTGAATTGTGATTTTCCTGTTAACTTCTGCCTGTTTTGTCTCCGATATGGTCATGTTATTCGTGTGCCCGCTAGTGGGAGGTTTATAAACGCTAGCACATGTCGACATGTTCGTGATAGAACCGGTTCGCTCGTGGCCCTCCTAGTGGGGATTATACACTAGTACTCATGTGCCCGCCAGTGGGAGGTTTATAAACGCTGGCCATGACCTATAGAGGAGACGTCTATTTCGTGCCCGTACTGTATCCGTTTTTCGTGATTGCACTTGTTGGCATGCTACAAGTTTAATTAAGGGCAATCCATATTTTACTTACTGAGTTATCTCACCTCGTTTTTCTCGTCCACCATTTCAGGTAGTGTGCCCCGAGACTCGGAAATCAAGGGGAGTAACGTGATAGAAGGCTAGCCATTTGAGATTTGACATAGATTTTAGATACATGTACACCACGCTCTTGTAAGTTAGATTTTAATTGGAAATTTTATGGTATCAAAACTGATTTTGTTCAGTAAGTTCCGAGCCTTGTGCACTTGTGGGATCCGTCTCACAAGTGCACGGCGTTTGTCGCGCCTCGGATTTGGGTTCTGGGGCGTGACAGTATTCCTCTATTTTGGTTGCCATCTCCTTAGTTGGCATTAGAACTATAAATGAGACATTTGATCCTTTTACTAGTTTGCCTTGCTTGTGAAAGTCATTTACAAAGCCACAGGCATCTTTCACCACCTCCTACATTTCTTTCAAGAAGCCAAAATTAAAACCATCAAGCCTTGGACCTTTTGTGCTATCACATCCCCATATAGCTTCCAATTATCTCCTCTTCTATAAACTTTGTTGTTAACATATCGTTATGCCATTAAGCCTTGGCCTCCTCCATTAATCTTCCATAAATAGATTCTTGAAACATGCTGCAACACCATTTTTTATCTTTTCCACCTCTTGCAACTGCTTGCCATTTATTTCCAAACAATTTATCTCATTATGCCTTCATCTCCCCTTGATGAATGAAAAAAATCTAGTATTGGCATCCCCCTCCTTTATCCATCTAATTTTAGATTTTTGCTTCAATATGTCATCTTTGGTTTGTAGAAGCTACCACATTTCCATAGTCTTCATTCTCTTCAATTCTTCCTCCTCCATCGTCAAGCTTCTCAATCTCTTCCTTGAATCCTATTATTCTCATATCGATCTTACCAAAAGTGCCCCTAGTCCACTTCTTTAGAAACACCTTCATTTGCTTCAACCTTTTTTTTTTTTTTTTTTTTTTTTTGGAGAACAGAGCCATGCCATCCTTGTACTTGGATCGACTTCCATTGTGCAACAACCCTTTCTTTAAACTTAGGATATTTCAACCATGCATTGAAAAATCAAAAAGGTTTAGGCCCCCAATTCTTTCCCTCATGTTTCAACACAACAAAGCAATGATTAGAAATATCTCTACTTAATCCTCATTGCCTCATTTCCTCCCATTTCATGAGCCCCTCTCCAATAGAAAAAATCTATCTAATCTACTTATAGCTTTCCTCCTAGAATGGTACTATATGTAACTTCTTCCAAACATTAGCAAATCCACCAACTCAGAATTATTTATAAATTCATCAAACTTTCTCATTTCAGCCTAGTTTCCTTTGCAATTCCTATTTTTCCTTTTGTGACAATGCCACATTAAAATAAACCCCTACACACCATAGGCCGTTATTAACAATTATCAATTGATTCAATTCTTCCCACAATTGCTTCTTCACCTTGCTTTCAGAAGGGGAACAAACATTTACAATATAATATGGGGTTTGATCTCACCCTAAACACCTTGTGATCCTCCCTTTCTCTTAATCCTTTCCCACTTATCTTAAGATTTGAACTTGAAATCTTTAAGGTAGAGTACCTAAGTTCTTAACCATTTTAGACACCTACATTGTACAAACATAACTAGTCTATTTGTATAGTTTGTGATCTTTCTCCTTTTGCTTGTAGTATATTGAATTGTTTTTGTGATTCAATACTTCTTATTGTTGCTTTTGACATATAATTGAATGAGAGTTTATATTTCCATAAAAAAATAATTAGCAAAAAGATACCTTAGTTTTAAATCTTAAATATAATACTAGCTATGCTCTAAAACCGCATGTACTATATATTTTTAATAATTATTAAATAAAATAATATTGATTCATAATTGAAATTATTTTTTAATTAATAAATATAAAATTCATTTCAAATATATTTTCATTAATATAAATGAATATTGAAAATGCATACTTAAATGGTATTAAAAATGAGTATAGAAAATTTATTATTGAAAATCTAATAAAGTTCATATCGAAATATAAGTAATTGAAGATAGATTGAACTAAAATTTGCATTAAAAGGAAATATTATTATTGAAAGTATAATTGAATTTGAATTTTAAAAGCTTATTGTGTATTTATATAGTATTTATTAAAGATTTTAAAAGGTCCATTCAATATATATATTTGAAAAATATTAAGATTTTAATAATTTTTATAATATAATATGATGGTAAGATATATATGAAATGGACAGATACAATTGTGCTTGTGTGAAATTGATAGATGCGAAAGTTTAATGAAAACATTAGAAACAATGCAATATAATTAATTTTTTTTTTTTTTTTATGCCTAGAAAAGCAACATATTAGAAGACAGTGCCGGCTGCATATGTTGAGATTTCAGTTGTGGATGCCATAATAAACACAAAAATGCCCTCTCATCTTCTTCAAGTCATAGGTGGGGTAGTTTCTTCTTAGATGTTCATTAACCTTTCTCTCGTCATCTTTGAAGACATTGCAGAGTGCTTTTAAATAATCCGATGGGAGCCTACCATTAATCGTAAGAGAGAAAAGTGCATAACGGAACATATCATGACAAATGTCAACTGAAGAAATGCTATAGAACCTACCATCAGGGCTATTGGGTAGAGGAGACTGAGGCCAAATGACCAATCTGAGGCAACGTTCGTAGATAAGGGTATTATTCATCCCTGAGGAAAAAGGAATGCTTGAGTTAATAATAACAAAAGTAACCAAGAGTAATGAAAGTTTGGTGGAGGTCATTGTTGAGGTTTGGGAATTGAACTTGGGCTTGACTAAGACGATCAGGCAACCAATTTATATAATTGTTTGTATTGCAACCTCATTTAGTGCTGAACAATGTTGTTCAAACTGTTGAAACATTAAAGAAAAAAATTTTAATGAGGTTATTTAGATCTTTATTCTCAAAACTCTAATAAGTTGCTGCTCAAATTAATTGCACAACATTCAATAGCATTAACTAAAACAGTTGCAATTGCTATAATACTCACCCCCCCCTCCCCCAAAAAAAAAAAAAAGAGACAAGAGTTTGCACTTCGACAAAAAAACAAAAAAAAAATTAGGTAAATCATATATTAAAAATATAATTCACTTTATGAATTTATTTAAATATTTTTAATTTTTTTTATTATTGATATTTAAATAAATTTATAAAATAAATTATTTTTTTAATATACAATCTGAAAAACTTGAATCGCTGAAAAAAATTTCCATGTAAAGCGGGAATATAATCGAAAATTTTAATCAGAAAACGTAATGATAAGTTGCCCCCACGCAGGATCGAACTACGGACCTTCAGTTTACAAGACTGACGCTCTACCACTGAGCTATAGGGGCTATTCAT